AGGATATGCCTCCAAGATGGAACCCTCTCTGGCTGGCTGCAAGCGGGCCCCTCTACGAGGCTGCTTGTGGCAGTTCAGAGGGAGCCAGGCGGAGGCTGCAGCGTGCTCTGTGACCTAGTCGGAAGCCCACTGCGGCCTCCACAGAACCCTCGTGGCCACACAGTCCTGCCGTGCAGGGTGGGAAGGGACTACATTAGTACGTGAACACCAGGAGTCAGGGATCATCCAAGGGCATTTCAGATGCCTGGCAAGTTTCTTTGAGGATTTCATGAGCATTTCTTAATTTGTGGTCTATCTTAAAAACTTGTTTCCTACACAAAAAAGCAGCTTCCTGGGCCGCAAACCAACCTACTGACCCGGAATTCCTAGAGCCAGGCAAGCCGGGGATCTGCAATTTTAAGAAGTATCTCAAGTGACTAGACATCCTGGGTCTCAGTAAATGGGAAGGTGTAACTTGTTTTGTTTATCTGGCCCCACTGGGTGGGTGTTCGAGGCTCTGGGAAGGACGCTAGCGAAACGAGAGAATGGGAGTAGGAACAAACATTCACTGATGTCGTGGCATAGTCGAGAACTGTTGGGTTGAAGGAAATTGTGATCCACTTAAAGATATCCCAACCGGTGATTGGGAATCCTGGAGAAATCCAAAGGCAAGTGTTCCGCCAGGCCCCGGGGACTGCACAGTCCACCTTGATCCGTTCGTTCTCTCTCTAGGGTCGTCTCAGGCCTAACCTAATCCATTCCTCCCAGTTCAAAATCCCCAGGACCCTGGTTGCTCAGCTTATGTCTTGGGACCGATTCCTGCCCAAGCAGCTGTAGACAGGGAGGAAAAGATCATATGAGCTGAGGGACAGAGGACACAGTGATTGATGTCTCTGTGCTGGGCACTGTGCCGGGCCCTGGGGGCACCTGGGAGGTGGGCATAGTTCCTGCTCACCAGTGCAGTCTGGAGGCCTGGGTGATATCTCGGCCTGGGATATCTCAGCCCACAGGTAGAGGAGCAGTGACAACAGTGCCCCTGGACAGTGAATAGGGGGCAATGCCCAAGTGCTTTCCGAGCTGCGCCTGGCAGGGGCAGCCACAGCCACGTCCCCAAGGATGGGCACAGGGAGCTAAGAGAGCCCCGGCCCCTCAGTCCGGATCGGGGTGACTGTTTTGAAATCCTAAGATAAAACCAGCCGATGGCTCCACCTTTTAAAAACTCTTCCTCGGAAAATGCAAAATCTGCAGCTGGGCTGAAAGCAGCTTATTGTCTTACTGCACTGGAAGTTTCGTTTTGGATGCAGCAGTTTTAGAAATTGGGACAAGTAGCAGGGCTGTTTGTAGAAGGTAAAGTAAGGTGATCTGGGGAGGGATCGGGAAGAGGGGACAGTTGGCACCAGATTAGCCCCAGCGTAGGAACAAAACAGCCTCGTGTGGGAACGCGCATGTAGGGCCGGAAGTGAGCGCGGGGAGTGCTGCTGTTCAGTGTGTGTTCACTCGGTTGAAACGGGAGATGGAAGGCCTCCAGGGAGGTGAGGAGAAGCAGTGACCCCATTGCTGTTCCGGGGAGTCCCACTCCAGCCCCCCTCTCCACCCTACTGAGCCAAGAGCAGCTCTGAAGTTGGTCAACCATAACCATAGCCATGCCTCCTTAGAGGGAGCTGCACAGTCACTCAGCCTTATCTGACAGGAAGCCTCTGGCTGCAAATAACAACAACAGAAAAACACCCACCTCCCTTAAAGCTTCAAAAAGGCTATTTTATTACCTCGAATTACCAGACTGTCCACAGGTGAGGTTGATTCAGAAGTTCAAGGATATTTTCCTTAGAGTGTCCTATTTCATGATCACAAGATAGCTGCCATGGCTCCAGGCACCAGACAGAGCTTCACTCCCAGAAAACAATGACCAGCTCTTCATTGTGTCTCCTTTAGAAGCCCTTTCCGTTATCATCACAATGGTCAGAACTGGGTCACACAGCCATTCCTTCGCCGCTGGAGGTCAGCTAATTCCTCCACGTCAGATGGGAGCAGCACAACTGATTGGAATGGACTAATCCAAGTGGCTTCTCAGACTGTTGCTTCTGATCATGCAGGTTCCCCCAAAGGCTGTTTAGGTGGACAGTTTTCTAGACTCTATCGTGCTCCTTAGACACGTCCCCTGGGTCAAGACGAAACACTGACCTATCAGCAGGTGGATACACACACCTAGGTATTGACCAACCTGTCCTGCCTCCCTCCTCCCCTCCATTTCTGTTAAATTCGTGGAAACTCCAGTCCTAAGAAGTCGAGCAGGCGACCCTCTCTTGGAGCTAGCTGTCTCCGGCTCCCCCGTCTGTGCCCTGCGGTGGCTGTGGTCACAAGTGCCACAGGCAGGGCTCTGACTCAGCCTGTGTGGGGAGCCACTTCCCCAGCCCCCGGCTGTCAGCTGTGGTCCCAGGAGAGGTGGGAGGAATTACTCAGCACGCCCTCCGTGCTCACGAGGGACATGAGTCTCCGACCTTAATGTGTTTTGTGTCAGTTGCTCATCCTAAAGCCACATTTTCCTGAACGCGCGCGTGATTTTTCCAGGATGGCAAGGCATGTGACCCAAGCTCTGAATCCACATCAGGAGGACCTAGGGCCTAGTCCATCGTGCTGGTGACCTTGGCCAGCCCCTCCCATCTGTGAATCTCCCAGTTAGCCCAGCAGACACTCAGCGAGTCTGAGATAGAGAGCAGACAGCATGAGAGCCCCCACCACCCACCCTGGAGCATGGCAGACATTACTGGTGTTTGTGCCAGATCCTGACCATAGGCCCCCAGGCAGCCCAGGAGCGGATCAATAAGAGCCAGGTTTTGACTCTTCCTTTTGCTATACTGACTTGCCCTCCCCACAGTCTGGCCTTCAGCCCACAGTTGACTTTCAGACCCTCGCCTTTCCCTCTTCTTTCTCTCCCCTGAGAAGTAACTTTGCGACTCCATTTCCCGGTAGTGCTCTGGAAGGCCCTGTCCTTCCTCCACAGGATTCCAGAGGTTAGTTACATCCCTGCTCTACACTTTCCAGCTGTGTGAACTTGGTCGTTTTCTTAGCCTCTGTGAGCCTCAGTTTCCTCATCTGTAAAATGGGGCCAGAACCCGCCATAAAAGGTTGTGAGGATGTGCCTGGCAGAGCGCCTGCCATGGGAGGGGTAGGGGTGCGCGCCACATTGGTCCAATGTCCTGTAGTGCCTGTTCCTGGCTCTGCCAGGCAAACCAATCCAGGATTTTAATGGGGAAAATGATGCAACCAGCCATTACTTGACAAAGTTTTATTTCATTTTAGTCTTTGTGATATCTCCCCCCTCCCAACTCTGACCAGATCTTGTGCTTTCAGGATGGGGAGCAGAGTGGGGGTGATAACCACCGGCCCCCAGGGAGACCGGGGGCTCTGTACCCTTAGAGCTTGTAAACCTGCGTCAGGACTGGGGCCAGCATCTCATCCTGTCAGCCAGGTGTGGCCAGGACACGGGCTCGAAGGCCAGGAGACACAGAGCCTATGGACAAGAGCCGCCATCCCCACCCCTACTGCTCAGGACTTGGGAGAGAGCGGAACAGGAAACGTACCAAGGCCCAGAGGCACCTGCCACAGCTCAGAGCTGGCCTGCACTAGGCAAAGAATTGGGTGAGATTCTTGAGATGCCTCTGTCTCCAGCCAAGACTCCTGACTCTCTCCCTGGGCTGCCAACTGCCCTCTGGCACCCCCACCCCAGCCAAGCTGAGAGCCAGGCGCCCTGTACCCACCAGCCAATAAGAAAAGAAGTAATGGAAATGCTAAGTGTTGTTGCTAAAAAAACAACACCTAAGTATTAAAAACTAAATTAAAACGGAAGCCCCAGTCCACTGAGCCAGCAGTGAGCTGGTGATTGTAGACACGTAGCTCCCATTCTCCCCCGAGCCCCAGGGCCTCTGAAGGCAGCAGGAAGGGGCCTCCTGGCCCCCCTGGAGAATAAAGTTGGGGGGAGGGTGTCCTCAGGGGGTCCCCAGTGTGGGGCACTGAGGACTGTAAACATGACCAGCTTGAGGGCCCAGGGGTGACCCAGCCCCCTGGGAGTCTCCCCAGATGAAGAACAGCCACTGTGCTGATGACAACAGTGAAACAGCAGTCAGCCTCCCCGTTGAAATATGGAGGTGGAGGGGGCCTGGACTGTGATGGGGGAGGAAATTCAGCTTCCCAACTGCTTCTCTGCCCCTCTCAGTCTGCACCGGGGCCCTTTCTGGGCAGTGAGTCCGCCCCTCCCTAGTGAAACCTGCTGCCAAGTCAGCTCCAGCCAGGGCTGCCCAGCCAGACTGGGCCAGGTCAGGCGAGCTCCCAAGAGGCCTTGTCCCAGGACGGGGGTGGGAGAGCTGGCTCTGGGAGAGGAGACAGGGAATGTGGCTAAGACTGTCGGGAGGGCCAGTGAGAGCCACCACACCAACACAGGCACGGCCCCAGGCCAGAGGGTCGCTACTGCACCAGGAACACCACCTCAAGGTCTGGCTGAGGCCCAGGACAAAGCCCTGCCTCTGCCCGGCTCCTTGGGACCGGGTGATCTCACCATTCCGGTTACGCATTAAAACCTGCTGCACCTTCTGCACCTGCTGCCTCTGGAGGCGGGCGGCCTGGAGCCAGGCCAGCTTCTCAGGAGCCACTGGAGCAGGTGAGGCGTGGCAACGAGCCTTCTCTGTCCGTGTTGAGGCCCCATCAGGGACGAGGGCTGGCTGGGCATTTGCCTTCGGGCCACAGGACCTGATGCCAGCAGCAGGCCTTCACTGGTGATTCGGGCTGGGCCTGGGGCTAGAGTTCCTTCAAAACCAGCCCTCAGGCGTCCTGAGGTGTAGCCAAGCCCAGGATTCTCTTCAGCGTGAGGCACAGTGACCTCCTCTGAGTCCTAAACGCCCTTCGGATTCCAGCACCTTCTCGGTGCTTACATCCCTCACAGGGGCCTCAGTTTCCCTCGGGACTTAACTGTGATCTCCCTCAGGACTGGGCTCCCCAGTCTCAGGGCTGGGCCCGTCGGAGCTTGCTTAGAACTCCAGAAGTCTGTCCATCGGGTCCCGGCTCCTGAGCCACTGGCTCCTCAGGGCCCGGACCTCCTGCCCGTACCACTCATGCAGCTGGTGGAAGGAGGCCGAGTCCAGAGGCCCATTGGGCGCCGAGGCCCGCCGGCGGGGTGGCAGCGGGGGGCGCTCAGGGCCAGACCGGGCACCAGCAGAGGTGCCCGTGGAGGTGCCCGGTGAGGCAGCGGGGGGCTCGGCGCTCCAGACCGCACAGCCGTTCTCCTTGGGCGGGAGGGCGCGGGGCCGGCGCGGCGGCGGCGGGCAGCCCCCCGCCCGCATGGCAGCCAGCTGCTGCTCCAGCTCCCGCACCACCAGCCGCAGGTAGTCGAAGCTGGCCCGCGACAGGGCCTTCACCCAGCCCTCCATGGCGGCCTGGCTCTCGGCGGCCAGCACGTAGGTGCGGGCCCGGGCCTCAGCGAAGCGCACGGCGAAGGTGAACTCCTCCGTGGCCTCCACCAGCTCCACCGTGCAGCCCTCCAGGATGATGACGCCCACGGGCTCGCGGCTGGCCGCGTCCTCGAAGTAGAAGAGCATGTTCCCGCGCAGCACGAACCAGCGCCGGTGGTAGACGGCGTGCCGGCCGCCCTTCTTGTACAGGAAGCCCGCGTTGTCCACCGGGGCGTCGCAGGTCGCGTAGAAGGCCAGGCTGCGCTCGTTCAGCTTCATGGCGGCCTGCGGGGAGCCCAGGGCCTGCCCCACGCCGGGCCCGCTGTCACCCACGCGGCCGCCGCCACCGCCGGGCCACCCCGCGCCCCGTCCTGACCTCCCAGCCACCCTCCGGCGGCATCACAGCCGTCAACAGCCCTCTCTCACAAAAAGGGAAACTGAGGCTCAGACAGTGGAAGCGTCCTGCCCAGGCTCACACAGCTCGCAGGACCTGGATCTGCTCAAACCCCGGCCCCAGAGCCAGACTCGGCCCTCCTGCGTTCTCCTCCCCAAAATAATGTTGGGGATCCCTACTGCGTGCCAAGCATCTTATGCATCTTAACTCATCTTGCAACAGACCTCGGTCGGCAGGGACTGGCCTGAGTCCCATCTGACAGATGGGAAAACAAGGCCGAGAGGTTAGTCATGCACCCAAGGTCACCAAGCAAGGCGGGCGGGTGGAGTGAAATTCAAACCCAGGCCTCCTCCCCGGGGACCAGATGGGCTGGCCTTTTTATGGTCCCTTTCAGGTCCCAGTTTTGATCTCCTAGCTCAGCTCTGATCTCCTATCCAGGCCATAAGGACACAAACGGCCTATTCCAGAGGGGTGTAGGGACTTCGTTTGGCAAGCATGTGTTAAGCTCCCACTGCATGCCGGGCGCTGCTCTCGACACCTGGATTACTCCCTCAGTAAACAAGACGGAGAGGGTCCCTGCCCTTGTAGTGCTGACATGCTAGTGGCAAGTGAAGAGGGAAGAAAACTAACAGAGTCTGCCCGGGGGTCTGGTTCTGGGTGCTGAGAAAATCCGATGTGGAGACCGGGTCAGGAGTGTGAGGACCAGAGGAGTGTTTGATTCTCCTGAGAAGGTGACATTGGAGCAGACACCTGAGGGAGGGGAGGGCAGGAGCCCCGGAGCAGCCAGGCAGAGGGAACAGCAAGGGCAAAGGTCCCGAAGTGCCTGAGGAGCAGCCAGGAGGCCGATGAAGCTGGAGCGGGAGGAGGGAGGGGAGAGGCAGCGGGAGGAGGGAGGGGAGAGGCAGCGGGAGCAGGCAGAAGGACAGAAAAGACTGTGGTGAAAAAAATCCAGGAAAAGGACCCTGAGCTTGGCCCACAGTTTCAGGAAGCGGGTGGGAGGAGAGCATCGTGGACTCAGAGGCTCAGTGATTTAACCCACCTTCCCTGAGGAGCGCCTGGAGGGGCAGCACTGACCGGGTAGGATTCACCGGGAGGCGACCCCTGGGCCCCTAATTCGACCACACCTTCCTTTGGGATTTTCCGCAGCCACTGTGAGGACCTGCCTGGTGCTCCTGCTCTCACAGCCTCACTCTACATAGGACAATAGCTGCATTTTTTCAAGAGACGACGTATGTGAAGTCCCTGGAATGCAGTAGGTGCTCAATTAATGTTTATTCCCCAGCCTGGGCAGGCTCTCCTCGGAGCCTGGAGGAAGGAGGTCTGGGTGGCAGTTCTCCTGAGAGCAGTTCAACCCGACCCAGGGTGGCAGGAGCAGCTGCTCCCAACTGAATCACCCAGGCCCGTGGTCGGCAAACTCATCAGTCCCCAGAGCCAAATAGCAACGGTGCAACGATTGAGATTTCTTTTGAGAGCCAAATTTTTTAAACTTCTTCTAACACCACTTCTTCAAAATAGACTCGCGCAGGCCGTGGTATTTTGTGGAAGACCCACACTCAAGGGGCCAAAGAGCCGCACGTGGCTCACGAGCCCGCAGTTTGCCGACCACGGGACTAGGAGCACCTACTTCCCTAGGCAGTCAAGGCTGGCTTCCTGGAAGAGGTGCCACAGGCTGTGATTTCATGGCTAAGGTGAGACTGTCCTGACCTAGCAGCCAGGCCAAGGCTAGAGACCCAGAAGGCTCTACCTCCCTGTCCTGTGTGACTTCAGACGCAGGCTGCCCTTCTCTGAGCCTCAGTTTCCTTCTCTGCAAAATAAGACTCAGGCATTTTCCTCAACAGCCCAACTCCACGTGGACCCCCACCCTATTTCTCGCAGGAACCACCCCCCCTATTTGTCCCGTTTCCCTCCTACCTCTCAGGCCACGGCTCCCTCCCTGCCTCTGCCCAGTCTGCTCTCAGCGTGCTCTTCTCCCGGGTTGAAATGTCAGCTCTGTAGTGTCCAGGCTGTGTGACCTCAGGCAAGCGTTAAGCCTCTCTGGACCTCTATTTCCACATCTGTAAAATAGGGCCATAAAAGCACCGAAGTCAGGATTTTTGTGACATTAACACAGTGATTACCCAGACGCTGCTGAGCCTGGTGCTGGGCATGCAGTACGTGCTCAGCAGTGGCAGCTCTTGTTCTTCTCACCTCCCCAGAGGCTCCCCTCGGCACTCTGTCTCGGCAAATGGCCTTTGGCTTCTCCCCTTCCAACTTCCCCCCTCCCCCCACTCTGACCACTCATCAAGTCCAACTGATCTAACCTCTTCCAAATCAGCGGCCTAATCTCTACCCACTGCACCTCCCCATTCTAGGCCCCCATCATCAATCCCTGGACAGCCCCCATAGCCTTTTCATTGGTCTCCCTGCCTCTACCCTCACCTCTTCCCTGTCCATGTTCTTCAGGGTAAGAGCCAAACTCCTTCCCAAGCCCCATTGAAATGATCCCATTGAAATCCTTTCCCCACAGAGAGATCCTGTTTAAAGCTAAATACAGCCATATCCCTCCACCACTCCACACCCTCCCAGGACTCCCTGCTTCTCTCCGTATAAAATCCAGTCCTTCCCATGGCCCCCACGTTCCCTTCCCTACCTCTGTCCCTCTTGCTCACACAGCTTCAGCCACCGTGGCCTCCCTGCTGCTCCTCAAACACATCAGGCACAGTCCCTCCCCATGCCTCTGCCCCGGCTGTTCCCTCTGCCTGGTGCCCTTCCCGCCTGTCGCATGGCTGACCCGCCCTCCAGTTTCATCTCGACCATCACCTCCTCCCTGACCGCCCTGCATAAGAGACTTCCCTGTCACTCTCTTGTGTCCCAACCTGAAATTACCTGGGGCATTTTTGCCTGTTCTAGGTGGGCAGGGTTTGTTGTGTTTGTTTTGTTTTTGTCTGAATTCCAGTGCCTAGCACATAGTTGGTGCTCAAGTACCTAGAGAATGAGGCAAACAGTCATCTTAAATCTCTCAACAGCCCCGTTGAGAAAGTGTCTGTTCCCATCCCACATTAATAGGTGTGGAAACTGAGACACAGAGAGGTTAAGTAATTTGCCCAAAGGTACAACCCTGTGCCCAGAATCCCATGCTCTAGCCCAGCGGTAGGCAAACTGCAGCTCACGAGCCGCCAGGGTATGCCACTCTATTGACTGAGTTTGCCCACCACTGGGATAGGGGCTTAATCACAAGGAACAACAGCCTGTAATTATTGGAATCGAGAGTCTAGGTCAGTGGTCGGCAAACTCATTAGTCAACAGAGCGAGCGACCAGGTGACTGGCTTGAGAGCCGCAGTTTGCCACCCACTGCTCTAGCCTAAGGCTCAAAGAGGCTGTTCCTGGGGTCTCCCCACTCCATGAAAGCCAAAGATAAAACAACCTCCCTCACACTCAGCAGCTCTCCTCCTCTCGCTGCCCAAAATGGGGCCCGGCCCGGCCCAAGGTCACCGTGACACAGGCCCCACTCTGCCCATGGCCCCCGCTTCCAGCCCCAGCGAGAACCAGGGCGGCGGGGCAGAAACTGCCGGGGTGCAGTTCCGGCTTATCTCCCACACTCCTGTCTTTTCTAAAAAGTTCAGAGTCCATATAGACATTGCTGCTGACTCAACCGCCCCTGGCCTGGCAGAGAGCTGCAGGGCAAACTGTCAAACTTGCTTGCTAGGGGGCCTGGCCCTTCTCCGGTCCCAAGGCCAAGTTCTCACTTGGAGTCTCCGCAGGAGGGTCTTGAGAAAAATCACTTCACCTTTTCAAGCCCCAGCTGTCAAGTGGGCTCTGGAGAGGATTCCCTGAGTTAAAATGGGGAAAGCCATCAACCATACAGCCTCACCTATAAAATGAGAACGTAACTCCCATCCCTCGGGGAGGGTTGAATAAATTGTCCTGAAGTGCCATTTTGCAAAATGCTTAGCAGGCAGTGAGCACTCAGGGGAGCTATCCAGAAGACAAGTTAGCTCAAGGTCTCCGGGGACACAGCTGGCCCAGAAGCCTGGCCGCTGGAGAAACTGAGGCATGGCATTTGGGCACTCAATTCGAGGAAAGAATCCGCCCCACGGGTCCTGGGGTTGAATCCAGCTGCCACAGGTGTCCCCCAGCAGTGTGTATGGGGGAGAGGGTGTGGCGTGTACAGGCAAAAAAGGTGCTGGGAGCCCCGAAGGGGGGACCACAGGGACGCCAGGAGCCTGCCCCAGGCTAGAGGCAGCCCCGCTGCCCATCCTGGGGGCTGGATCTCCGGGTCTGGCTGCTCCCCGCAGCCCTTGGTGTGCCCTGTGGGGAGCGCTCTGAGTTTCCTAAAAGACAGCCGGAGCCCCAGATTGGCGGTCAACAGAGAGATGTGGGTGCCAAGTGGAGGGCGCGCCCCCAGAGTCCCCCAGCAGCAGAGGTCCCTTATGGGGGGTCTGGGGGGCGGAGAGCGGACTGCAGGATTCCGGTTCGATTCCAGTCAAGGGCACGGACCTCACCTGCCGAGCTCGCCCGGGCAGCCGGGGTCCCTAAAGGGACATGACTCCTGATGTGGAATCGCAAACAGGCAGGTCCCCAGCACAGGTCGCCCCGGGGCCCACGGCGGCCCGAGCCGGTCCCCCCGCCGGGCTGGCCCTACCTGGCGGCGCGGCCTAGGGCGGCGGCGGCGGGACGGGAGGCGCGGGGCCGGGCAGCGGATCGGCCATGGCCCGGGACCCGCGCTCCGGGCGGCGGCGGCGGTGCTTTGTCTGCGGGCGGCGGGCGGCGCGGCCTCGGGAGCACGGGGCTCGGATGGAAGGAGGCGGGGACAGCCCGGCGGCCCGCGACCCGGGGGCGCACCCCTTTAGCCCCCGCGTCGGTCCCGCCCCCGGATTGGCCGGCCCGGCCCGGCCCCGCATTCTC